CTCCCAACAGGACCTCCCACGCACACAAGGCGCGCTGTCTGCCATTGCCTTTTATTCATAGATGCAGCCACATAAGCGAGCATCTCGAGTTTACATCAAGGTGACTCACTCTCAAGCGGTGGCTCATTCCGCTTAACATATAATACTTATTGCGTTACTCCAAGGCAAAGCATGGACAAAAATATATGTTAATTTTCATGTCCATCTGTCTATCTCAGAGACTACAAAAACTACTGCACAAGTAGTTATCCTATACGGATTTCATTACTGGCAGTATACAACATTTTGTTAATTATATTCTATACAAAATATATTTTATAGTGAGTGTACATTATAACCCATTCTTTTTAAGCTCAAAAGAGCTTCTTGGATCCATCCAGTTTTAGTTTAGAAATTTCTTTAAATGATAACTTCGTCTGGGTTCAAGCAATAATATTTTGAACAAGCTAGACGACAGCTTAAAGATCTTAGATCTAATGTCTCCTACAGACAGAAGAACATACGGGCAGGTCTAAATCGACACGCCTTGGGATGCTGGTCAAGGATATGCAAACTATATAGAGACGGAGATGCTTTCTTCAGCTTGATATTGTTTTTTTAAGTTGGCGTTTAATAATTAAAGATGCCCACTTTGTTGATAGAATTTTCATATCATTTTGGACCTAACCAGCAGTAGCTTTTTGCCCTTAACACTCTAACTTACCTTTGCCATTTAGCTTTATTTTAAACCCACAATTATATTTCTTCTAATTACCAATAACATTGAAGTAATAGTTGCATTTGCTTGATTTCGTTTTTCAAGTGAAGTAGGGATGCAACACCAAAGGGTACGCTCAATCCTTCAACGAGGCAAACCTTGTGGTTATTTGTCAAGGACGCAAAGTGCAAGGTTGCAGTGCCATTTATTCGGCCCGCACAGATGAATGGGAGGGGAAATGATGGTCAGGGCGGAATTTGAGGCCAGAGGGCAGGGAGCGTAGGGCGGAAGGCGGAAGGAAGAGGAGCACTAATCTCTGAGTGCGCCTTGTTCGCATTCGCCGTACCCTCATTGCATAAGTGTCAGTGTCAGAGCGGTGTGCTGGCGTACGTGGGTGTGGGATACGTGAGAGTGTGCCTGTGGGTGTGCGTGTATGTGGGTGGATGGGTGTCCTTGCTAGGAGACAAAAAGACTGATGATGATTGCATTTTGTTGCTTTGCTACTTTTTGTGTCGTGCACCACATGGCAGCAGCACCTTTAGTATGAAATGAGGCGGACATACAATCGCATCGCCATCGAAGATCGCACAAATCGCATACGGACCAGGACCAGGCCACGGTTGCAGGCAGAAGAACCATCGGAAACGGATTCGGACTCGGGATTGGAAGTATGAATAGCAACAATTTGCAGCAGTGGTGGGAGAACTTTTACCGGCGTCGCCATCACCTGGAGACCAGCCAGGAGCTTGACTCCGCGGAGCTGCCCTATGCCCTGTTCGAGCATTCCAATCTGCCAACGGACATCTCTGGCCCCACTCACGACTATGACTACGGCAACTTCAGCCTGGAGGATCCGTACGATTCCGTGGACTCGGAGCACGCCATCTCCTCCCTGACCCTGCTCCTGCTGGCGGTTAGTTATGGTCTAGTTGTCTTTGGCGGCGTGGTTGGGAACTCCACGCTTGTGCTGACTCTATGCTCGGCCTCGTCGGTGCGGCTGCGCAATCCTCTACTGCTGGCCGTCTGCATTGCCGACCTTCTGGTCACCGGCATCTCAGCCCCGGTCACGCTCCTCAATCTGGCTATGAACCGCCGCACGCAATCCCTGCCGCTGGTGCTCTGCAAGGTTATACACTACATACAGGTGAGTATATAACCTTAAGAGATGTAACACCCCTAAAAATTATCCATCACCCATCAGGTCATGCCCGTGGCGGCCAGCACCATTTCGTTCTTCATGCTCTCCTTGGACCGTTATGCCACGGTAAAGCACCCTCGCCTGGCGCAGCTTCGTCAGCGTCGGTACCTGCATGTGTCGCTGGCTCTGCTCTCCTGGCTGACCTCGGCCGCCATCAGCACACCATTCCTGTTCGCCTACAAGATCATTGCCAAATCGGTGGTGGTCCCAGGAGGTGGTGGCAGGGGTGCAAACACCACACCGAACCCTGTCAGCATCAGCTGCACTTCCGACCTAGGAGCCAATGCCATGTTCATGTCCTTCATCATCACCCACACCATTGCCGTGTTCGTGCTGCCGGGCGTGGGCGTGCTGCTTAACCATTACGGCGTGCGGCGCAAGCTCTGTGCTCTCTCGCTGACAGCTCGTGCAGCCCATGGAGAGCTGCCGCTACCCATTCCCATTTTGCGCCGCCAGACGCATATGGTGATCGTAACCGGTTGCCCCAATGCCCAGCAAGCGGCCTGTGGAGGCGCCACCACGGCGGACGAGAATTCGAATGGCAACGGAAACGGCACTGGAACTGGAAATGTGAGTCCGGGGGACATTCAGCTGCACACTTTGCAGCCACGTCAGAATGGCTCCCTTGGATCGGCGCTCGAGCCGGGTTCCTATCGCTCCAGCAACCCCATATCGCCCAGGTGAGTAGACTACATTAAGGAGAGACCCCTGGAAATGAAATGGTTTTAAAACTTATTGAAAATTATGTCAGGGCCATGAGGGAGATTCGAGCCCACTCGCAACGTCAGCGCATCCACCGAGCGGGACGTGGACCGGCCACTCCTGGAATTCCGCTGCCACAGACGTCCACTCTGCGCTCGCGCCGGCATCTGGCCAACATGCTCATCGCCTCCGCCGTCATCTTTATCGTCTGCTGGGCTCCGCATGTTTTCTGCATCTTTTACAAGAACTTGGGCTACAAGCAGCACTGCACCAAGACCTCTGTTTACTTCAGCCTGCTCCTGGGTGAGTCTAAGCATTCAGGAATATTCCAGCAGAAGCTTGATCTATTTCCTCTCTTGTGTAGGCTACTTCTATTCGGCCATCAGTCCGGTGATCTACTGGGCGCTCAACCACAACTCGCTTCGACAATCGCCCTGCGCGCCCATCATCCGTCTGCGGTCCATGCAGAACTTCCTGAGGTCGCGCTTCCGGACGCACACAGCACCGCCACCACCCTCTTCCACCAACGAGGCGGCCCTGGGGGCTTTCAACCCCAAGTTAATTAAGCTGACACCGAAACAGTATAGAGCTCAGGCCTCTTCGCATTATCTCTACTAGTGTGATACTAAGCTATACTTGATATACACATACTATATATATATACAAATATATATAATATATATATTTTTTACCTACGCCCCCCCTCCCTCCCACTCCCGATGAAACACTAACGAACGCTCTGGTTCCGAACTATCTAAACTACCCAACCTAAGGACACTATCTAGATGTTTTTAAAGGTAACTTAATGGCTAGATAGTACCTACATACATACATACATAGTGCAGAATACATAATATACAATACATAGAGCGTGCATAGATACATAGATGTGTTTACGACTTCTACCCTACAAACATATACATACATAGCAGAGTTAGTTGACGCTTATTTACACTACGATGTTGTGCGCCTGAAGCTATGCAATATTAACACAACGGAAACCTGTCGCAACTCTTGCCTAACCCCTAAAACCACGAACAGAAATGGTCAAATAGAAAACTGAAATTTTTAAAAAACTCTTCTAGTGACTTGTTTAAAAATGTTGTTTAGTATTTTAAGCAGAAATATTGTACTATGTTCCTTCTCATAGAAAAGCAATAAGTGAACGCTTTAAGCCAAGTTAAACAAAACAAAACGAATCAAACTAAACTAAAAAACGAAAGCCTAAACCTTAAAACGATGTAAACCTAAACTATAATTAACTACAAGTACATACATACATATGTACATAAAACAAGCAAAATACTAACAAACAAACAAATTAATATAAATGTGTGCGAAAACGAAAGTGTTATATATTAGTCTTATATACCTATTTCTACGATACAATTCTTTATATTGCTAAACAGAAAAATGTTTAATATTGTTCAGAAAGTCTGAACACCATAGTGCAATTCAATTCTGCAGAAGAAAGCAGAGACCCACGGAGACTTGCGTGTTTCAGATGCGTGAACAACGACGACCCACACGATCAGGCACAAGATCGGGTTTCATTTTCCACCTTCACCGTATACCCAACACTTCTATTTTCTATACTTTTATATACTATACTATATATGTATATGCTCCCCAGGGGGCCACTATCTGTTTACAGCTACTGATGATTTGGTTTTTTCTAAAATATATGTATATTCAGAATACTTTATTTAAAGCCATCTGAAGCAGCAGTTGTTATCGCCTTTAAATTTGTAGCTATAAAACCCTAAGCTAACTTTAAAAATAGTCATCGTTTTGTACTTTAACTAAATCTGCATTGAAAGAAGAGAGAAACTTTAAAATCTATAAATACATGCTACATACTACAAGTCCTTTGTTTTAATTTTATAAACCTAAAACAGGTTTGAAATTATTGTATATTTTTTCAAAGATATCGTCTTTTGAGGGAGGTGTTACTAGAGAACAGCTGAATGGCTTTTTTTTATTTAATTATGATTTATGATGTTAAAATCCTTAATATAATAATTTTAAAAATTTGTTGTAAGGATTCTAAGTAATTATAAAACTCTCAGCTTAAATAGAAATTGCGGAAAGAGATCTGGGAGCTGAAATCTTCCTCAGTCAGAATTTAATATAATCAATCCCAATAAACCCTGTAGGCTAGTGTAGTCTCCAGATGATTAGATATGAATTATAATTGCTATAGCAAGGCGGCATTCTGGCTGGGATATTCCACAGCCGCTCGCTCATAATGGCAAGGAACTGAAACTTTTGTGCATTAATTATTCATAAGATGATGATCATAAAGCCGTTATTTAAATGACTAAACACATTCCAGGTGTTGCATAATATTTGCATGAGCAAGTAGCAGCCGCCCAGAACTGTTCTTAGCTCTGATAGTCGGCAGCCAGTCAGTCTATAATTGATCGTATTAGCAAACGGTTTACATCTCAAAATGGATTTTAAAACTGCTTGTTTGATTTGCCTAGCGGCTTTTCTGTTTCTGAGTCTTCAAAGCTGCAGTGGCCGGGAGTAAGTTTGATAATATAAGCTAAGAGTTGGGCTCTATATAAAGTGTGCTTCTAGATATCAGTTTATACCTGCCCGCTGTGTGGAACAACCTGGAGTGGATCGTCAAATAGGCGGGCCTCTGAGTTTGTGCACCTTCCCACCTTCCTACCAATCGCCAAGTAATGAGGATATTCAGGCCGTAATTAAGCATATAAAAAGCTTAAAACTGGATTGAGGAACGTCAGAAATATTGGAGAACTTTACACTTTATATATGCATCGAAGCAGCAATCAATAAAATTAACTATTACATTTGTATTATCAATTAATTGCTGGCGCGCTTCGCCTGCCCCGCATACTGTTGCATACGTTTCTCGATTTCAGGTCGGAAGTGACGGATTAGACCCTGCACTGGCCAGGCGGCACCGTCACCCAGTGCACAAATGGTGTGTCCCTCGATTTGCTTCGAGATCTCCCACAGCATATCGATCTCAGCGGGTTGCGCGTCTCCCTTGACAAAGCTAGAGCAAATAAATTATAATTAGTCTTGGCGTAAGTTACAATCGTTACTGCTTACCGCGTCATGATCTTGTTCATCCAGCCGATTCCCTCGCGGCAGGGCGTGCACTGGCCGCAGCTCTCGTGCTTGTAGAACGAGATTAGCCTGGCAATGGCCTTGATTACATCCGTTGACTTGTCCATCACAATGATGGCAGCCGTGCCAAGCGAGGTCTGGGCGGCGATCAAACCATCGAAATCCATAATCACATCGTCGCAGACGTTCTTCGGTATGATTGGTGTGGAGGAGCCACCGGGAATGACGCCCAGCAGATTGTCCCAGCCGCCAGTGACACCTCCGCAGTGGCGTTCGATCAGCTCCTTCAGCGGTATGGACATTTCCTCCTCAACGGTGCAGGGCCTGTTGACATGTCCCGAGATGTTGAAGAGCTTAGTGCCCGAGTTACGGGTGCGACCAAAGCTAGCGAACCAGGGACCACCGCGACGGCAGATACTTGGGGCCACAGCTACAGTCTCCACATTGGTGACAGTGGTTGGGCAGCCGAAGACACCAACGTCGGCGGGGAATGGCGGCTTCAAGCGCGGCTTTCCCTGCTTGCCTTCCAGCGACTCGATCAGGGCCGTCTCTTCACCACAAATGTAGGCACCAGCGCCACGATGCATAAACACATCGAAGTCGTATCCCGTTCCGCAAGCATTCTTGCCAATCAAACCGGCCTGGTAGGCCTCAGCGATGGCCAGCTGCATGTTGGACGCCTCGTTGTAGAACTCTCCTCGAATGTAAATGTAGGCGGCCTGTGCGCCCATGGCACGACCGGCAATCAGACAGCCCTCCACCAGCTTGTGTGGGTCGTGGCGCATGATCTCGCGATCCTTGCAGGTGCCAGGCTCACCTGGTAACAGAAAGAAATTAATAAATAAGACATTTTGATTGTATTGCGTCTAGCTCACCCTCATCGGCGTTCACAACCAAGTACTTGGGGCGGCCATCGCCGGGCTTGTTCATGAAAGACCACTTCATGCCACTGGGGAAGCCAGCGCCTCCTCGGCCACGCAGGCCAGACGTCTTGATCTCATTGATGATCCAGTCCGGTCCCTTTAGCACAATCTCCTTGGTCTTGTACCAGTCGCCGCGCTTCAGGGCGCCCTTCAGTCGCCAGTCGTGACGTCCATAGAGGTTGGTGAAGATTCTATCTTCATCGGCCAGAGGACCGAACTTGGTCTTGGTCTGTGGTGGTGGTGTTCCCGGTGGCGGGGCCTGGTTGCTCTGAAGCCGCTGAAGCTGCAGGCTGGCCGGCAAAGCCGCAACTGCAAGGCACAAATAAGACAGGCAAATCAATAAAATGCGCACAACCCTCTGCTATATCTTTGTTTTGCTTTGCGCAAAAATTACATAATTTGGTTGCACTTAAACCGACTGTTTCACCGAGTTGCAAGTTATCCTATGAATAGCCACAACCCGAAAGTGCAAGCTAATGTCACTGCTAAACTTCTAAATAGTGATTGTTATTGATTTAATTACCCAATTGCGGTTTAGTTAACAAATTAAATCGCACAAGTGCAGACATTTTCCGTACGACTGACAGCTGAATGTGACGTTTGCGGTTGCCAGATCGTCGCAGTATTGCGGGGCTCATATTTAGTAGGGGCACTCGTGGCCAAGCAATTTGACATAGTTTAAAATAAATGTTATATATATTTTTTTTTAGTAAAATAACTTATATAAGTACATTAATTTAAAAATATAAATATTTTTGCTTGCTTAACTATTAAATGAATTTATTTATTAATTTTTTTAATAACGCATATTAACATAAACTTAAAAATGTAAAAATTATTTAGTTTAAGTTAAAAAAATATATAACTGAATGCAGTAAAAGAGCTAAATAATAGTTAAGGTGAGCATCCCTGATATTTTAGTCCCCAACAAGTAGGCGGTGTTGCCAGACTGTAAAAACAGTCGCACAGCTGACAGCAATACAAACTCACCGCATTCATGAAATCTTGTTTATATAGTTAAAAATGGCCCAAAAATCGAGCAATGACTCAAATAATGGAACGACAACCGAAATAGTTGATGAGGCGGATGCCAGCGGCTCCACCCCCACGCTGCAACTGCGCTTGGCCCAGCCCCGTGATGAACGCCGGGTGGTCTTTCACGCTGGAATCATTGACAACGAACATCTGAATCGGAAAAAATCCAAATGTAATCTCTTTGCTCATCTGGTCTAAGGCGTTGGCTAATTCACGTACATACATACATTCTAGGTTGCTGCATATACAAAAAACCCTTGGCCTTCGGCGAGAGTTCCTCCGAAGATGACGAAGATTGCGAGCATTGTTTCGGACATCCTGAAAAGCGGAAGAAGAACCTCAAACATAATCACAATCATGATCACGACCATGGAGACGGCCACGACTCTTGCCCGAATTCGAGACAACCGGAAGAACCATCTACATCTTCCCAGGCTGGAAAACCCGGGCCGCCACCAGCCGAGCCGGTTGAGGGGCCGGCAAAACCGACTGGAAATCCGTAAGGCAAACACCATTTAATAAAAATCTTTAACAACACGAAACGAACTAGCGGCGAGCAGTGAAATCGGAACACAATAAAGCAATCGGATACGGCAGGCACAGATCTTTTGATTTCGACAATATTCATCCTCAGATCTTGGGTTTAAGCTCGAAGGACTCGCTGACATTGATAGGGATGTTGTACTCCCTAGCCTTGGACCGTGATCGCCAGACCTGTGAAGGAATTCCATTTGTTAATAACGCTTCAGCGATGGTAATACTTCTTTGCTAACCTTGATTGTGTAGTCATCGCTGGTGGTCACCAGCATCTCAGAGTCGCGCGGATTGAAGGCCACGCTGTTAACCACATCAGAGTGTTTGAACTTGGCCAAACTAATGCCATAGTATCGATCCCACAGGTAAGCATGCTGATCCTCGGCACCACTGGCCACATACTCCTCGCAGACATCGAGGAAGATGAAAAAGCATTCGGTGCTGGGCGTGTAGGCCTTGTGGGCACGCAGCATGTTTCCAACTCTTTTGAGAGTCATCAAATCGATGACATGGATGTCGATCTCTTGAGCGATTGGCGGCGGTTCGAGGGGATTCGTGATGACATAGTTTTTGGGCCAGGGACGCGTGTTTACGTACAAGTAGCGATGGTCTGGGCTGAGTGCCATGCCGATGATGTGACCGTGCAGATCAATCACCTTGTCCACCTGATCGAAGCGATCTTTGACTGACTCGTAGTCCCACCAGTCCGGATCGGTGCGTGGCGTCTGCTGCTGCTGTTGTTCGGCAGCCCGCTTGGCAGCTATTCTCTCCTTGAGCGTGGGGCCGGGATCAAGCTTTTTCGGGAAATACACATTACCGATGCGCTTGAAACCGATCTGATGCGGTGTGAAGGTCTTTGAGCCCGTAGAAAAGATGAGATATTTCGGTACGCAGTTCTCCATTTCGTCGTATTCCTCGTGTAAATCCATAGAATCGTACTCCTCCTCGTCATCCTCATCTTCAGTGGGACCATTGACGGAGGCTACGGCTTTTCTGTATTCCTCTAGATAGTGAATGGTGGCATCACCGGGACGCGTCCTTGAACGTCGTTCGCTAATGTCTGGCAAGTAGTTTTCCTCCGGAGTGGCGCTTCTGGTTCGTCGCAGGCTAGCGGCATGGGACACAGGATTCCCGCTAGACTCCGGATCAATTCTGGGCGGTGAATGCATCGTCGCCCTGCGAGTTTCGTCGTCGCCTTCGGAGGCGGCACACCTGACTAACAACGGATCGTTGCTTTCATCTAGCCACGGACATCTGGCCACCATAATGGCCCGCACCGAGCTGGCATTTCGATTGTAGAATTTGTACAGTTGACTCATGATCGGCACGTGCTCCGAGTCGATCTCCTGATTGGCCTTGTTGAGCCACAGAACCGACGTACTAACCAAGTGCGCCAGCCAGTGCAGGTCTCCCGAGATCAGATATTGGTCGCTGAACCAGGTGCCGAAAATGTCATACGGGCGGTTAACAACCCTGCAGCGCAGATGCGACTCGGTGGCTCCCAGATAGAAGACGGCAATCTCCCCGGAAGTCGACTGTGGCGATCCAAAGTGGACACCTGAGACCAGCAGCAAGGTGTCGCTCTGGTTGAACTGTGAGTATTGCGAGTACTTCCAGCTGAACTGCTTCATGTTGTGCGCATACTTCTCCGTGCACGGATGCTGAGAATTCCAGATCTACAACAGAGAAAACTCAAATTAATGTCTTGTCTTTATGAAAATGTATGTGAAAGCCACTCACTATCACATAGCCGTCCTTGGAGCAGGTGGCAAACATTTCGCCGTTGTGGGCAAAGCTCACATGCAGCACCTGGTGCGTGTGGCCGTGGTGGTTTTCCGCCGTCGATTCCAGTCGCTGAGCCTGGACGAAGGGTATGTGCGTGGACAGACGACGATACTCTGACCGCCAGCTCTCAGCGCCCGGCTTCAGGGGAACACTGGGCGAGGCTCTGAAGTGCTCCTGGAACTTCTGACGCCACAGAAGGTCGTCGTTGGCAATGCTGTTCCACCGCCGGCAGCAGAGGCTGGCCTGGAGGAGCTCGGGCACGCTCAGCTGCTCGAAAACCATGAGGAGCGCCGGCTCTGGCAAGGCCCACCATCCGAAAGGATCAAGATCGCTGTTCTCCGCCTCCGAACTGCCTTCATTTTTATCATTTACCAGGCGAGCCTTCTTGAGGGTCACTTCCATTGGATTTACGAGTTGACGCCCGCACAGGGTGTCTCTACAATATTTATCAGCTGGCGTTCCGCTGTGAATGAGTCTGTGGTGTAACAACCGGTTCTCCGTCTTAGTTTTTGTTTGCTCGAAATTAATATAACTTTCTCCTTTATTGTTATTGTTTTTCTTTTCAGCTTTTTGTTTTTGCTATATCAGCTGTGTGACGCTGTAATGAGAAACACAGTTAACAGACAACCAGAGTTGTCTCCCTCCGATACTATTATTATGAAGGCAACTCTGTCACTTGTGACCATGAAAGGAGAAAAAAAACTATTAAACAAATTAACACACTTAAACAAATTAACTATTAAACTAATAACACGAATTTGACTGAAATGTAAACAATAGCGAATAAATATAGTGACAATGCTTGACCCTGGTGGCACCTGATAAAACAGCTGTTTTACGTATATCAACAGGTGTTACTTGCGCCTTCTTGCAATCCATTTTAGATTTCAATAAAGAATGGAATAACACTTTAAATATTACTATTAAATATTACTATTACCCTATATACCCCGAATACACTAGGTTGCAGGGTATCATCCCATGTTAACTTACAGAATGTTAGCAAAGTCAGGTAACAACAATGTTATTTATGTATTTAGGCAGCCCACAAAAAATACCACCCAAAAAATAAAAAATGCCGGGAGGCGTGCGCTCCTTTAGCCACAAACAGTGAGTTCTTCCACAACACAAAGATGTGAACTTCTAGCCGTGCTCCGTTCCCACAGTATCTGGCAGCAGCTAGTACGACACTGCAGCCCACTACTCCACCAGCCCGGATCGTACAACAATGCTGTGGTGATTGCGGCTGCCGTGCGGACACCCAACGCTCCCTTCCGAGCGGAGGAGCAACAGCTAGCTGGGATGATAGTCGACGAACTGGCCAAGCGAACCACTGTGCCGCGCAAGGAGTTCAACAAACTGATCTTCTGCTCGTCGTCCAAGAGGCCGGTGCCTGAGTGCAAGGAGCACCTCTCCAGTCTGGCCAATGATTTGGGCTTTAAGTGCGAGACGCTCGCCCTGCAAGACGACATTTGCTCCATTGGTGGTCTGCAGATGACGCTGGACTGTCTTCAACGCGGAGAAGACCAGGTGATCATCACTGGTGATACCCGGCGCCAGGTTGTGCAGCCTGAGTACGGAGTTCTGGCAAACGAACTGATGTCCGTGCAACAGCCCCGAGTTCGCAAACCATTGGCCGGAAATAACCAGGCTCCGTTGGAGCCGTCACCCACGGTAGGAGCTGCCGCCCTCGCCTGGACTACCCAAGAGGCAGCACAACGCCTACAACTACAACCACTCGCCTTGCTGCGAGAGTTTGCAGTGGAACAGGATCACGAACAGGCAATGTTTCGCTTAAGTGGGAGGAGTCCGATCACTCCCAACGAGATCTACACCTGGAACATGGTCACGGGAACCCAAAAAGCAATACCGGATAGTATACTCGGTGACCTGAAACCCAAGCGCCTGTGCACGCACGACTTTAAGCAGATAACGGCCAGCCACCTACTGACGCATATGGTTCACTCACTGCCCACCGGCGAATTGGGATGCGCGGTCATGGGAGTGCCTGATGGACGCTCTATAATCATGGTCCTCGAAAAGCTGTACGTTTTATTGTGACCTTTGTTGAGCTTCCTTTTTCTGAATTCGATGTTTTCCAGAGCTCCCAGCATAGCCCAGGTTGACGGCCGGCCTTTGCTCACTCTTTACACGCGCGATCCCTGTCCCCTGTGCGATGAGCTAGTCCAGCGGCTGGAGCAAGAATTCGCTGGTCAGTATCGGCTGGAAAAAGTTCACATCGACCGCAAGGAGAACGTACGTTTCCTACGGCTCTTTCGGCATGACATCCCGGTTCTGTTTCTAAACGGACAGTTTCTCTGCATGCATCGACTTAACGAGGAAGCTTTAAGAGAGCGCCTGCAGGCTCTGCAAGCCGAATCTTATTAAAAAGCCTTGGGATTAGGATAAAATTTATAAATACAAAATTAAAATGTTTTTTTAAAACAAGATGTTCTCCCTTTCAATAGTCTTTTAATTATTTATTGAAACCAAAAAGATTTACCAGGGTTTTTATGCATTTTCGTAATTTCTTTTGTTGTATTAAACCTAAGTATATTAAAAATAAGTAATAATAATTTATTCTTAATAATTTGAAATAGTATACAAGTCGTTTAACAGTTTTCCCATCGCTTCGGGAAAAGTGACGAAGTGTGAACACTTTCATCGATTGATCGATAAGTTCTATGTATCGGTACTATCGCTGAGTCGACCTCACATTAAAGTAAAAAAAAAACAGTGCAGGTGTTGAGGATTTTATTAAATTCTCACTAAATATATTAAACATAGCCCTATTTATCTGTAAAGAACGAATTATTAAAGAAAATGGCGCAAATGGACATGGAACTGAAGAAGGTGAGCGGAGAGAACAGCCGGCTTTCAACGCTGCTGTCGGCGTGCAGCGCGTGCTTGCCTCGCCTTGCCTTGTCCAAGGGTCTTTCTCATGGCCATATGTTCTTCCTTTTGACAATCCACAGGCCTTCACCGAAATGCAGATCAACAAACTGGAGACCACGAAGAAGATCAACATGATAGACATGAAGTGCGACATGGTTAAAACCGGCAAACACAAGTACCAGCTAACGGAAAAGGGCACCAGCAGTCTGTCCGATGATACGAGGTGACTCAAGGCCTACAAATTTATAATTGATTCCATATTCACGTTGTTTTTCTTTTGCAACAGGGTATATCAATCCGTGGGAAGAATGTTCCTGCTCACCGATGTACAGAACATGCGCGACGATCTGAAAGCCAAACAGGACAAGTGCGACAAGGCAATCGAACTGCTTGAGAAGAAAAAGGAATTCCTGCAGAAATCTCTCAAGGATCAGGAGGATGGTCTACGGGAGCTGGTCCAGCAGCGCAAAGAGGCTGACGTCGCTGCGAAATAAGAGATTCCAGCTTGGCATTTAACCGACTCCTCACAACCCATAAAAGAATGCAATGTGCTTATTTATTTTCAATATAATTGTCCAAATTGAAGTTGGCATAACTAACAAACTCATTGCCCAGATTGCGTTCGTGCTCCGGCCGGAAGTTGCATTTGTGCACCGGTAGGCAGGTAATTAACCATGGCTCCACTACCTCACCGGAGCAGAAGATCAGCTTGGATTCCCTGGGATTGCGCTGGAGCTTTGAGATTATCTGCGACATTTTGGTAATGCATTCCTGGGACAAAAAGGGCGGGTCGGCCACTATGAGGTCGTACTGCTTGTGGTGTTCCTTGAGGTAGTCCGGATTGTTATCAATGCAGTTAAAGTCGTAATACACGAAATCAGTGCCGTAAGCGCCAAACCGTTGATCGAACTCGAAGATGTTGACTAAAGAAATAGGTGGATTGTAGGAGATTGATTACCATAACTACAGATATAAGACTATGAAGTGTTCATGTAGTTACCCTGGTCATGGATATCTTTGATGTCCTTGTAAAGGGATGGGCAGGAAAGAAGTGCTATGCGAAAGTTATCCGGTGAATCAGCCCCTCGTTCCTCCAGGAGCTTTCCTACAACGTCCCGCACTGTATGCTTGGTCTGCGTGCTGTACCAGAACTGGCTGAGTTGCTGCAGTAGTCGCTAATCAGTATTGGGCTTTAGAATATCAATGGTTTTCTTCTTGCCCAATCTTCTTCGAAGAATCCCTCTTTGCCGGTCTTGTTGACAATCCTATCCTTCTCCTCAGCCTCGCGGCTCGAGCGTTCGGCTAGGAATTCGTTAAGAATGGCCAATGTGTCGGCGGGCAGGGTGACATCGTCGTCCATTCTGGATCATATGTTCCTCTAACTTTAAGATATTAAATTAAAATTAAACTTAAATGTGCGTTTTGATAGAGGTGATAAACAATTGATTGCAAAATATCGGTAACAAAACTTTACCTTGAGCCGTTTACACTAAAGTTGGTTATTTAATGCAGAACGCAATTTTAACTAATAAAATCAATTTTTGAGAGAGATATGAACAGGAAGAATTACATTAATCCTGGAACTCAATATTGAATAATTTAAAGGTTGAAATACCGTGATTGAACAACCATCTAGTGATTTCAACGGTGAATATTTTTATCGAGCCATCTATCGAGGAAGTACCTTCTCTATCGTACGCACGAAGAGTTAATTTACGTGTAGCAGTTTTTTTTTATTAATTAATAACCAAATATCGAGAGAGACACAACACGGCTGTCCAAGTCATAAAGGTGAGTTCAACCTCGTTGTCTCAACAAATTAAATACACTTAAAAGAAAGTGAATATCTGCAAGAGCTGACTGAGTGAAACGCACGTTTGGAGTAGGAGGAGAAGAGGAGGAAAAATCTACCTGGGCCAGCTCTTCCCCATCCGTCGCAGTGCCAGATCTCAGATAAAAAAGTGCTAAGGATAGCGAACAGCAACTAGTTCGTCCAATTTGAGTAAAGTGTAGTGGTCAGATATGCGGGTAAACCCCACTCCCTAACGTTGCAGCCGAGTGGAAGCAACAATTTCGAGAAGACCGTAGTTAACCCATCAACGAAGGGCGCTGCACTTTGAGCGCGATTCCCATTGTGCTGTGTCACTGCGATTTGGGATTAATATTTAAAGTTCAGCCATTTTGCTGCTAGAGGCTGGCGTGCTCTTTTGCCCCTGCCTCTGCGTTTCACCTGCTGCTGCTGTGTATGTCTGACGTGTTCCTATTTCTGCCCAATTGACCGGCCATGTGACGTCATTTACTGAATATCATCAAATATCACAAAATTTTCATAATACAAAATTACTTTCCGAGGGCCAGTCAGGTGTAGCCAGCTTAACTAATGCTGACCCAGTTTGGTCGAAGGACCCCCGGCCATGCATATTCAAATCGATACACACCCCGCCTCCGTCGTCCTGCATTTTAAATGACAGCTAATGACCCCGGGCTTATCACTCAATAATGCCCAGGAACACGTACACTGAAGTGACCGCTGCGCCGTCGCTGTGTGTGCTTTAGCCCAACTCCACCCCCTCCCCAGCCACACCTGCGGCAGCCACCTGTATGTGTTAACGCTTAAAGTGAAAAGACAGAAAATTTCATAACACGCGCGCATTGTGGTTAGTTTATTAGTTAGCTCTTTGGCAAGTGCAACGCTCGCATTGAAATCTTTGCGGTGCGTCATAAACTCGGTGGCACAGAAATAAGTATTATTGCGGAACAAAAACCCCCGTTAAAGGTTCAACCGAAAACACATAAGTAGTTAAGATCACTTACTTATGGCCGTTTTGCCTACTGTCATAACGATTTCTTTTTCTCTGGCATTGTATGCAAAGCTCTCCGCCTGTGTAATTGTGGCCAAAACATAATCTTGTACATTAAAACGCCTCGGCACACGCCTCCCTTCCCGTTGAGCGTGTGCGCGCGCCGCTTGCAACTTTCCATTCGACTGGTTTTACAGCTGAGACAGCTGGAGTTTCAATTTGGCCTAAACACCGGACCCCTAAAAGGCCCTAAGAAAAAAACTCTCTTTAAGAGTATTTTTCTGGTATTTTATAGAACCTTACGTTCCAGTTAGCTTGCCGAATTTAATTAGCAAAGAACGCAGAAAAGGTGAACTATTGCTAGCCCTCACACACAAGTTAGATAAGGTCGCGGTTACTTGTGGGTTTGGGTTCGGCTTATCATTGCCCTCGCACTGCCTCGATAAGAGCAGAAATTTCTGATGCGATAAGACCAGAAAAAAAGTAACCAGGTAACGATTTTCAGAGACATTTTCTGTCACTTCTCAGAGAAATGTTTATTTTCCCCCTTAATCTAATTCGTTGATTCCGGACTTTTTAAATGGAACGATCCAATTTTAAAGTAACAGGGCTTTAAGTGAAATAGTAAAATTATAGGGGAGCTTATAGTAGAGTTATTATATATAGTAAATTAATAATTATTAATTTCCCTTCAGAACTGACCTTCAAGGAGCAACTTGAGTACATCATGAGCACAGCTACCGACCAACCGCGCTTTGACAGCGCCGAGAACAGCTCTGAGAGCTCCTCACAACAACAACAACAGCAGCAGCAGGAAACCCCACCGCAGCAGTCATCACAAACACAAAATGGACCGGCCAAGCTTTTGCAGCATTTCCAAACAAACCGCATCGACTCGGCACTGTGGGCCCTGCGCCTGCTGGTCATCTTCTTTACCGTCAGTTATGTGCTGCCCATCTTTACGTGAGTTTCTATATATATATATTTCTTGGCAATTACTAAGAAATTATTATTTGCAGTTCACAACAGAGTTCGTTTAGCAAGGTTTTGCTGGCCAATGCGGCCATCTCAGCGTTACGCTTGCATCAACGTGTGCCAGCGTTCTCGTTTAGCCGCGAATTTCTTGCCCGACTTTTTGCTGAAGACTCGTGTCATTATTTGATGTACTCGCTGATCTTCTTCAACATCAGGCCATCCCTGCTGGTGCTCATACCCGTGCTGCTCTACTCGGTGCTGCATGCCTCCAGCTACTCGCTCAAGCTTCTCGATGTACGTTGTAAATCAATAATATTTGTATGAATTTCTACTTAATAGTATTTTTATCTCCAGCTGATTGGCCAGAACTCGTGGTGGGGAGCCCGTTTCATTATTTCGATTGTGGAGTTCCAGGCGGCCAACATCCTGAAGGCCACTGCATTCTGTGAAATCTTCATTATGCCCTATGCCATTGTGCTGACATTTATGTAAGTTATTTTGAGTGATTTGCGATTTTTCAGATTATTAATTAGTTATTTGCACTATTTCATCTTTAGGAGTCACGCTGGCCTTATGACCCCCATCATCTACTATCATTACCTGGTGATGCGCTACAGCTCGCGCCGTAATCCCTATCCACGCACCGCCTTCTCTGAGCTGCGGATCACCTTTGAGGCACTGGCCGCTCGCTCGCCACCAGCTGTGGGCAAAATAATTCGCGGAGGAATTGGATTCGTTAATCGCCTGGCGCCGCAGCCACAGCCAGCACCAGCGCAGCAGTAGTAGAATGAATAACACCACCCAAAAAACCACAACAATCAACAATGACATCTAAATAATTTGATTGTTATCCCTTTCATTTGTTTAGTCCTTTGCTGTATCAAGCAAAGGCAGTTTTCAGTTAGTTTTTTTCCATAAAAAAAAATGTTTCGGCATTTAATTTTAAATTATAACTATTGTAATTATTGTAATTCCTGAGTATCTATTTCTTTTTGAATCATACACACATACACATTATATATTTGTCGCACACCAGGTGTGTTTTGATGGATCAAAGCGTCGCGTATTATTATCATTAATCTCAGACAAAATTATTTAACTTAAATTATTTGTTAATTAAACTGACCACACATAAAACCGAAGGAGCTAATAATGATAATGATGATTTACGTAAATTTTTTATGAATGTGTAAATGTTACTAAGGAAACAAAAAGACAGTGAACTTAATAAATGAAATCGTACAAGAAGGCGGCTAAGTCATTTTATTATTAACAAGAAAGGTGGGCATGTAAGTATGTCTTGATTTAAACTTAAAAAAAATCTTGCTTGGAAAATAAGCATGCACTTTATACGACAAACAACAAGTATATGTACATTATAAAATAGTTTTTGTGATAGCAGAGAATTATAATTACTTTTTCGTATTAATTGTTACATTTTAGTGTCGGACTTTGTTAAAAATGGAAACAACCAACTCGAAAGCTTACATTTTATAATTTATTATAATGAAAGTGAATGAGTTTATAAAAAAAAAAAAATAATTATAAAGTGATCAAAGTTTAGGATTATTATTTTTATTGTTTTCCAAATAATAATAGCATATAAATACGGATTTTACGAAAGTTATTTTTTCACACAAAATTCAATCTTTTTTAAAGAATTTGTATCATAAAATATATGTACATACATACATATATCAAGAATTATGAACGAAAATGCTTTTTTGTTAGCCATAATTTCTCAAAAAGTTTGCACATTACATTTAAAAAAGTTTTAAAAAATCCAAAAATAATATAAGTTTAATTTTGAAAGCTTGACATGAGCTTTTAACAAAAAAGAAGGTCGCCAAAAAGTATGAAACGGAATTTATTATAGAATTACTGTATTGCGTTTTTATAGATTCGCTAATTAATTATTTATAGATTTGTAGGAGTAATGATAAAATAAGAGAACATTATTTTATAAATTGTTTATTTATGAATGATCTTTGCATAAATTGAAAACTATTTTCAGGTAAGAGTAAATCATATATTTTTAATGAAATGTGTTAATTAACATATGCTATACAAATTCACAGATGTCCGTTTAAATATTTAAAATTATAATTTGTTATTTCTCTCACACTCTTTAACATTTTCTTGTAGAATATTTTCCTTATTTCTATTACTACCCTCAAACCCCGAACTCGTCCTGAGAGTAATTTTATGGAAGGAAAGCAAAAGCGAAAGCTTGGCTTTACAAACTTCCTCAAGTTCAATGAACTTCCTTCGTAGCGCCAACAAATTTGTTTGGGGTGGAGGTGGGACTTACTTTCGTTTGCAGGGAGGCGGAGTCGTTGGGGGTTGCGACTTTCTCTCAGGAACAGCAAGGAAGGAGGCAGTCCGTCCGTCCAACAGCATAGTCAGTGAGCCAGTTTATGGCATGGAATGGTGTCTGTGTCGATGGCAACGTCTGCGCGTTGTAGTCATCATGGGGTTCCTGAACTTTAGCTCGAGCAAAGATTTGCTTTTCAGTTTCGAATTTTCAAAGAAGGAAATAAAATTTCCCTTAATATCTGACCGTTGTTCTATGTTCTTTATTATATCTAATCCTGGGGGGTATTTTTTCGATATTTTTGAAAGATACGTTTTAAATTTATTTTAAAATCAGCATTGCGTTAATATAACCCTAGAGAAAATGTAAAGTTGGGAATGTAAAACTGTAACTGTCAAACTGTAAACATAATAAGAATAGGTAAAATGAAATGAAACTCTGTTTTGTGAGTGTTGTCAGTATTATAATCTATAATATAAACATTAAAACCAATCTGCAACGGCATGCCGAAGTTAGCTTCCTTTCTTGTTAATTTTAAAATAATCAAGAAGTTTTTTAATATAAAAAATCTGATTTTATAGTACAAAATAATATTTTTCTAAGTCAAGGAATCATTTCCGACCCCATAAACCATATATATTCTTAATCAGCATCAACATGCGAATCTTTCTAGACATGTCCGGAAGAAATCGATTTTTTGCCATTTTTGCAAAATTTTATAAGGGGTTACATCATTAAAATTATCAAAAATTGCAAAAAAATTTTGATTTCTTAAAATTTTAAATTTGGTATGCAGTTTTTTTAAATTAATAAAAACTAACACAAAACTGCTTTCCGAATCGAAATTAATGCATTTTTGGCTTAGTTATGATATATTTTAATTGTTACCTACCTGCAAGGGTATACAAACTTTGGCTGGCCAAAGTTAGCTTTCTTTCTTGTTTTACTTAAAATATAATAAATAAAAGGACATATGCACATAGTATACAAAATCAAACCTTGCGGTATACAGGGTTTACATTCATTGAAGTTAATAATTATCATTAAGTTAATGTTGTGAACACATTTTCATTTAATTCGTTCAATAAAATAAAATTTAAAATGTTATATGGGTGAGTCTCCTTGGCGGCGGATATTTTATATACATATATGGGTCAAGCCAACCGAAATCGAATCTACTGGTTTGCCCCCCAAAATGGGAAAAAACCTTAGCAATCCTCCTCCGCCTGGGACACGCATAAAATGTGAGCATAAAGCCAGAGTGCTGATTATGCATTTCCACCCTCGCCAACGCCGACGCTGCCAAATGACATCATGACAGCCCCACCAGCCACACAGGAACACCCAAAAAACAGTTGCACATGCTGTAATGGAAAAGAGGAATTCATTTAGATACCGAAAGCGAAAGCATGAAAGCACAGCTGAAAATAAGCCATAGGCCTTTGGGGTTGTCCACCAGCAGTCGTAAGCGCTCGGCGCCCCCTACTCTGTCCCAGCGGAAGAGGTCTTTGAACTCTTCACCGAATGTTGTACTGAAAATGGGTCACGACTCGAGCGTTTTCCAAATCCAAAAATTTCCCCCTTCGTCACTCACTCCGTACTCCGGAGAATACAAAATCAAAGGGAACTTGGAGCGGGAACGTGGACTGGGACGGTGAACCAAGCTGAGTTCGTCTCGAAGCAATTTCAAGTGCATTGCGTAGTCGCTTGGCGTTTGCGCAGCTCGAAAAACAGCTGATAAGGGGGAAATTTATTCGTCTTCGTCTTCTGCAAGATAGCAGCAGAAAGGTGGATGAATTTTAGCACTGGGTGTGTCTTTCCAGAGAGTTTGATTTCAACAGATAACACACAGGAGTTTTATGAATTAATATCAATCAAGGGAAGATTTTGATTAGCTGACACTCTAGGCGGGGTTTTCACGCCTTTAAAATGGTATTTCTGAAGGCAAAAAGTCTAATAAATATAGCAATTTCTGAATAAGTAATTTCTAAATTTACAATTATTACAAAAATTGGTTTTATAAAATCGGATTTGTAATACAAATTAAAATTTAAAAAATAAATATTTCGTAGAGTCATTCCATTGACAGCTTTAAGATATGAAAGATCGAGATGAAATTGACAGTCTAGAATATAGAGATCTTTTTACATTGGGCAGATATAACAATTAAGCATAGATAAAAAAATATTATATATTAAAGGTTGGCAAAGAAGCCCTTTGAGAACAAAAAATATAAAAGAAGTGTACAGGTTATAAATATAAACCACATATATTTTCAAAACATCCAATTGCTTTATCATTTTGAAGTATCTAAGATCTGGGTGCTCGTGCTCAAGAATATATATAGTTTATGGGGTCGGAATTGCTTCGCTCCTCTATCGGTATAAAAATGGAAAATGTATCTTAAGTTCTTTAAGTTCTCTCCAACTTCCACTGATTCAGTTTGAACGAGTCGAAGCCATTTGACAAAATTTCCCTCCTCTCAAACAAACATTTCTGTTTGAGTGTCAGGGCATAAATTTCCTTTCTCTCAAACATAAAATTCTTTGAGTGAGAAATTCACTCGTTAAGAGTTTGAGTGATAAACAATAAACCGAATTGTTACTCAAACTAAGTATAAGTTTGAGAGCAGGGAATTTTTGTTACTCTTTCAAAGTAAAGTTGATTTGAGTGGGAATTTCCACTCAGACTACTGACAATTTCCCTTCCAATTGGACTTCATATGGGCATGACATAACCGGCTGTGAGTGTGAGTGTGTTTAGAAATATATTTCTAAGTGAGGGTATAGCTTTTCTTCTTGTGTTTTGTTCTCTGGCCAGTGACCCTTGTCGACTAACGGTATCCATAGTATTAGGTAAGTGGTTCTTTGTGCATTTCCCTCTCATTCACACCCCCGTATATGTATCTACACATACATATGCACTGGAAATGGAATTGATCTGGTTTTTTAATTCTACCCGCAGGTCAGCTTTTTCGAGTATTCATTAATTTGGGGGCGAGTTTGTCGCTTTTGTAAATGGAGTGGGTATGCAAAGTTTGAATATGAAGGAGCCATGTTTTGATCATTAGATAGTGTTTTCTTTCGTATTTTGTTTTTCCGTTTTCTATTTTGGCTGCGCTTTTTGTTCTAACATTTGGAGAAGGCACTTGAGAGTTGATGTGATTGGGCTTAACAATACTCTTCCCGATGTGCATAAATCTTTGCTCAAGTGGCAATCGTAGGCTCCAATCCGCTGAACTTTGTTTGGGAATCTATAAAGAAGCTTTTTCAAGAAGGTGCAGAGGCAATCTTATGGAAATTATTTTCATTATTGCTATCAAGCAGACCCTCAATCTGCCACAGAAATTGCTGTGGATAGGAAATGGTTTGGTGTCTGACAGTATTCTAAAAATTATGGCTCCTTAACAAATTTAAACAATTTGTACCGAGTTGAATCCGATCCCGATCTCTGCATGAAAAAAAACAGTAGAGACGTAAAATTTTGTGCCAAAAAGTGGATTTTAAATAAAATTAATAGTTAAAGTTTTATGCACACCAGCCACATTGTTCTATTTCTTACTCTAACATGTCATTCTGTTACTGATACTTATCAAAAATATGGTTATGCTCGGTGATGTCTAATTTCACTGCATTAAGTTTATAATAATCCCGATGAGGCTATAAAGTCAGCTCACGCAAATTCAGAGAAGGCAAATATCCGCCCCATTTCCTTTGAGGAGAAAATTATGCGCATGTCAATGGGCCAAACCACCCTCTCACCTCTCGGACTTTCACCCCCGCCTAAGAAGGGAAATTTTACTGTTAAGAAAGCGAAAGGAAAATGGCAAGTTCAATGAACCCGGTACCCACCCAAGGAAAAGCCAAGTCGGGAAACCCCAACACGCAGAAGCCGCTGATCCCAAACTAACCCCCGGAATGGGAAAGGGAACTTT